CCTCAGCCCGCGGCGGGAGGGCAGTACCGTGACGGTGTGCTTCCGCCGGCTCCGCACAGGTACGTGGGGAAGCCGTGCTGGGAGGAGGCCGCCGCGTTTGCTAACCGTGAGGAAGTAACATCTTACGTATTTCGTTAACTTTTGTTCTGAGAAGGCAAGTGAAAGATGTAACCGGCCATAAGGTGAAGGGTCTAGAGCAAATGTCGTATGAGGAAGGGCTGAGGGAACTGGGGTTGTTTAGTCTGGAGAAGAGAAGGCTCAAGGGGGACCTTACGGCTCTTTACAACGAAAAGAGGCTGTAGTGAGGTGGGGGTCGGTCTTTTCTCCCAGCTAAAAAACGACAGGACAAGGGGGAACAGCCTCAAGCCTGAGAAGGCAAGTGAAAGATGTAACCGGCCATAAGGTGAAGGGTCTAAAGCAAATGTCGTATGAGGAAGGGCTGAGGGAACTGGGGTTGTTTAGTCTGGAGAAGAGAAGGCTCAAGGGGGACCTTACGGCTCTTTACAACGAAAAGAGGCTGTAGTGAGGTGGGGGTCGGTCTTTTCTCCCAGCTAAAAAACGATAGGACAAGAGGTAACAGCCTCAAGCTGTGCCAGGGGAGGTTTAGATTGGATACTAGGAAAAACTTCTTCACTGAAAGGGTGATCAGGTACTGGAACAGGCTGCCCAGGGAAGTGGTGAAATCACCATCCCTGGAAGTGATCAAGAACCACGTAGACGAGGCCCTCAGTGACATGGTTTAACAGTGGATGTGGCAGTCCTGGGGTAATGGTTGGACTTCATGATGTTAAAGGTCTTCTCCAACGGAGTTGATTCTACAATTCTCTAATTTGATAACTAAACCAGTAAGGAAAACACTCAAAACCCAGCCTTAGGTTCAGTGGTTTATTTTCTCTAGCACACAGCAATACAGTCATAACTACAGTGCTCGTATATGCACCAAAAATGTATTTTAAATAAAAACACATTTCATGAAAACATGTTTTCAGTTCCTGCTTGTGGCAAACAGAATTACCCAGTTTTTCCACAGAAATTGCAATTCTTCTGGTTGCTCAGTTCAAGCAGAAGGAGAGCTCTCTCTGGGTTCCATGTTAGCCTTGACCATATTTTATATAAACAAAATTGAGCTGTGTTCCCACAACACATTTGGCATCACTCCCAGTGCCCTGGCCATAAGAGACCAAAGAAACCTCAACCCCACAGCCCAGGCAGGTGAGAACTTAAACACCTCTGGTTTGGCTCTCACTGCACATAGTTAACTACACACACATTTTCTGTACAAACACATGCCAAAACCACTAGGGAAACAGGTTAGAAAAAAACAAAACAAAACAAAACAAAACCCAACTTTGATTCCAGCACTATCTGCCTATTCTATTTCCCAGCATCTAGCACAGGGACTAGATAAGGCAGCTGTAACAGCGTATAAAATTAAGGTCTGTACCATAATTAACATACAGACAGATACACAAAACAGAGATGCGAGGCACATGACAAACTGCTGCAGAAAAATAGATGCGTAAAGAGCTGCCTCGAGGCTTTTCCCCACCAGTTTACCAAACCAGGAGTAATTTCAATACAAGTACATTGCAACAGGTGCAGATTCTACTTTATGAGGCTGACCAAAAAAAAAAAAAACAAAAAAAAACCCAAAAAAAAACAAACAAACAAAACAAAAAACAACCCCAGAAAAAAAAAAAAAACAGAACAAAAAAAACCCACCAAAAACACAACCCCCCCAAAAAAAGAACAAAACAACTAAACCTCTGTCATCTTGCTGTCACAACCTACAGCAGGTTTCAGTCTATAGTCTTCTCAGTTACTAGTTTGGACAGCTGTCCATCCCAGACATCTCTGCATCAAAGACTGAAGAGCACTGAATAGGTGGGATATGCTTGTGTCAGGCTTATTGAGCAGTTTCTGCTGACATGCTCTAAAGGCAATTTATTTGTCATGGTGTTACATTAGCAATGTGTTTTGATATGCAGATATTTCAGTGTGAGTTGATTACATAAAAAGCTGGCCAGGAAGCCAGTGGAAAAACTGACTGAAATTTGTAGATGTATCTCCATCATTTAGTCATCTATCTTAAAATCTCTTGTGTAACCCCAGGTTACATGCCTGCTTCCTAGTCATATCCAGCACACAAACAGAAGTCTGGTATACTGAGAAGTACTCATGACCAAAGGGCATGCCTGACATCTGACATCTGAAAGAGCTGAGGGTCTGGGACAGAAGGCTAATGACCCATGGGCTAAAGCACACCGAATTTATGGTGGTTTACCAGACCCACTGGTAAACACAGTGCCCAAGCCCTGCAAAACCCACTAGGATGGAGAGAGGTTGCACCTCAGACACTACATCTCAGCAGAACAGAGCTGTGTTGAGAGGTTTGGAAGGAAAGAGGGGGAGAAGTCTCACTGATGATTTTTTTGCCCAGGAATATATCTTGCTCATGAGGAACAGCACTGGAGCATGAACTGAGGCACATTAGCTCCGATGGAGACCAGCACCATGACACCAGCAAAGGTGAGACTTGTTTAGACAAATCAGGGCCAAATGAGACCACTCCAAAGGGCAACACATTCATCTGCAATGAAGAGACATCAGGAAAAGACCTCCAAGAAGAAAACCAGCCACATTTTAAGAGATCTGGAATGAGGTGGGACTGCCAGGACAGGAGATCAGCATAGAAAAATGCAGTAGTCAAGGTATGAAAAATTCCATTTTGACATGTTTTGTGTATGTATGTGTGTCGGCATGGTGGTCAGTGTGGTTGGTTTGAACTTACTTGCTTTTCTAAAGAAAGCAGCAATACGCACATCAGAAACAAAACAGCTTTTGATGAGCCAAAGATTATGGTATTCAAGCACTAGAGGTAGCAAAAGAAAGATGAAGATCAGCAGGTATGTTTTAGGCAGAGTTTAGCTACAACAAAGTCAAGAAATGAACATAGCACAGGTAAAGGCAGAAGTCTCATAAGAGTTTAGACTAAAAAAAACCCCAAATATATAAGTTACTTTCTCTTTGGAGTTCAAATAAACCAACAGTTTAAAAGCAGGGAAGATACGGAAGCAATGGGCAGATACATATATCTCTCTCTCCATTTTCATGATACTCACAGCTACTACTAATTTAAGCTCAGGAACACTAGAATACTATTGCTGTAAGAGTAAAAAGAGCACCGGATGGGCGATCAAGGAGATGCTACAGAAACATAGCAGAGGGTTACTGTACCATGGCACAACTCCTCTGTTCAGAGGTGTGCTTCTAAAAGAGTGCAGATGCTTAATCAAAATGCAATAGCATAGAGGACACTAAAATGTAAAGTGCTTGATGAAGGTAGGGAATGCACCTGTATTTTGTCAGTGTTCTTGTTAAGAGATGAAAGCCCAGCACCAGAGCTCACCTCTCTGCAAATGCAGAATTTATTTATTTTGCCATTGCCTTTTTAATCCTTCTCCTTCCTTCACTTACTTTCAGGGTAATTAAAACATTAAGTCTGTAAGTTCAAACTACATACTTATGTACACACAATTATCTTTAACATGCTGCTTCCCTATATATACTCTCAAAGAAATTTTGCTATTTTGGATTTCTCAGCTTTAGTTGTTGCAAAGACCATAATTGTTTTGCAAGCACAGGTTTGTGTGCAATCACACTGAACTAGAAATCGTCAGCTCTCCCCCTCAGCTCAAGCTATTTCCCAAAGAAAATCAATGCTTTAGGTAAGGAAGCTGTTATAGTAAATGACTGTTTGTCTCAGCCTGTAGCACTCCTCCCCTTGATATCAGACTTTAATATACCTTTGCCATTTCAGGCAGCATTAAGTGGGATATGGCACTACTATAAGTCTTTTTGATGTTAATTCACATATATTGGAACCAGAGCTATGCTTTTACAGTCTAATAGCTGTGAAAAGCAGCTCAGATAAGAAGGGATGGTACAAGTAAACATTTGGTTTGGAATAGAAACCAGCTAGAATAAGACACAAAGAACCTACAAGCTACTGAGAGAACCACCACTGCAAAGAGGATGGAGCAGACTCATCTGCCACTCCGTGTAAACTAGGTGGATGCAGAAGAGAAGTTTCTACTAGTATAAACACACGCTACACATTACATGTCTTTCTCTTGTCCACTGATTCTGATTGTGCTAAAATAAACACTACTGTCATTTTACTACTTTAAACCAACAAAACCCTGAAGTAAAAAAGTTACATATGATTATATACAGTAAATAAATTTACTAAAACCCAAACCAAAACACAAACCTTAGCCCTGTAGCCAATACTGCTTTAATAGCTTTGGCACTTTCGCCATGTTATTACTAAGTACAGCTTTCCACAGTACCATATGCAATGCTAAACCCTAAATTAAAAAAAAAAAAAAAAACCAAAAAAAAAACCCAAACAAAAAACCCCAAACAAACAAAAACCCAGCCTTACAGTGTTTGCTTCTATCAGGGGGAGAAGGGATAACAACAGCACAACAATAAAAATATCTAATCTATATCAACCGTACCTCTCCACTAGAGAATTCAATAGGAAAAAAAAACTACCACTTATAATTTAACACCAAGCTCTCTTCATGGCAACCAGGATTACAAGTTTATGCTGAAAACAATCTTATGTTCAAATACGGAGATAAGCAGCATTATCCCAAAACCCAACAGAATCCCAGCATTCTGTAACAGGAAGTATCCCCAACGGCTACATCCATGATCACTGGCATCATTGTGAAGCATTTCAGGCACCTAAACAAACAAGAAAGTGTTAAATGCCTTCAAAAGAACTTACTTTAAACCCAGTTCTTCAGCCATGAGGTACTGGAGTCTCGCTCCTCTAGTCTTTCCTGTTGACTACATTACTACTACTACTTGAATTAGGTGTCACTCAACATGAGCAATATTATCAGAGGCTACTTTCATATTTAGAGACAGAGAGAATCTGTAATGTTCCAATTACTGTTGTCATGGTAATTATGCTGATGTCCTAAGCCAGCTATTTATTCAGGATATGATTATTTACCAACTGATTTAATCAAGCCACACGAAGAATTCTATTCTTAAGACAACAGGTAAGCTTTGATGAACATCCACCAAGCTTGGTACACCAAGCTTATACTTCTGTAAAAACATACTTCTGAGGTATAGTGTAGGTTTTAATACAATTCTGTCTTTATCCCAAGAAGCAGTAATAGTTTAATGCAAAAGCTGAAGCATATTTGGTGGTGCAGATAGTGTGCCACTTGCATTCTTATCAACTACCTGCTACACTAGCCAGTCAGAAGCAAATTTTTTACTCCACTTCTGCTATTAACTGCTTCTGTTTAACAACTGAGGGGAAAAAATCTCTGTACCTACAGTAAACTAAATAAAAGCCATCTTCCACCTGAACATTTAACTGAGCACTTATGCTGCGTACTTACCAGTATCTTCAAGTGCAGAAAAAGTTAATTGAGGGAAAAAAAGATGGAAAAATTTGAGCTCAAAATGTAATTAGCATTAATTCTTAAACTATGTTATAAAAATTCAAGTAGGCCTTATATAATATTCAAGTAGGCCTAGCCACTTACCATATCCACAAGAGCCACATACATGAACAAGCCAGCTGTAAGTGCAAATATCCACATGGAAACATTGTCTGCATAATGACCGATGAGAATCCCAGTTGCCATTCCAAGATAGGCCAGCATAGCTGACAGAGCATTATAAAGCACAGCTTGCTTGACAGTCATACCAGCTTTTAGAAGTACAGCAAAATCTCCTACCACAGGGAAAAAACAAAGCAAAGTTTTCATCCTCAGGTGACTACTGGAGTATCCATGAGTCCTCCTCTTACAAGATTACTAAGCTATTTTTATGCTCTTATATCCTTTTTTGTTTTTTGGGGTTTTTTTTTCCATAATATCAGTAATCAGTGGGGGACAGAAAATTCAAAGTAGCTGAACTTAATTTTTTTTTTTTAAAGGAAGATTAATTCAATTAACTTGAAAACTGTTTTATTTATTAATTTATTTATTCAAAGTATTCTTAAGTAGATAATCTGACACAGACGAAGCTTTCTGATCGAATTTTGCTGTGCCACAGAATAAAGTCACTTAAAATTCTCCAAAGTGCACCTCTAAGTACCTATACCTGCAGCACATGGATATACTGGGGTCTTACCTAGCTCATGAGGTAATTCATGGCAAAACACAGCCACGGAAGTGCTTAAACCACTAGATAACCCTTCAGTGAAGGCTGCTCCTATGAAGAGACAAGGGGGGAGAAAACAATAAAAACATTACTGCATATTCAGACATAAAGTGCCAAAGCATTGTTGCATATGCTGGTATCATATTAGGATATACTAATTTCACTCAAATTTTATTTATGCTTTTGGAAGCATTTAAACTTCAACTGACCAGTTGTTGTTTAGGATTCATAAGTTTCAAAATCCTCCTTCAGAATCATCCACTTAAAGCAAAGCAAGTGTCATTATCTTATTTCTGAACTAAGCCAAATACCTTTTAACATCACAACCCTCTCCAAAGAAAAAAAAAAAAAAAAAAAAAAAAAAAACCTAGAAATCCTGTCAGAAAAGACACTATTTTTTAAGGAAGCAAGAAGGCGGCAGCTCAGCTGCCTCTGAGAGTCAGGCACTGCAAAAAGGGAAGCCAACAGTAAGGGAGGCTACACAGTCACATGAAATCAGCAGTGAAAGATTGTGAATTCTAGGCAGCTTGCACGTAAATGAACTATCATGCTTTACATGGAGGGGAAAAAACCCACTCGATAGTCTAAATGAGGGAAACCCTGAAACTAGTCTAACAGTCATTTTTCTTGTTTGTTCTCCTGTTGCTTACCATTATTCTCAGGAGGAAGCAGCACATAGTAGGGGTGAAGAACTGAGCCACATCTCATACACAGCACAGGAGGCCCCCGGCTGCATGGAGAACCTCACCAAGGGGTGCAGCAGAACTGTGTCTAGCTTCCTCTTCAGCTGCTACCAGGAGCATGCCAGCAAACAGGGTGCTACCAATAAGCACAGAGGCTCAAGGCCATGTCATACACAGTTGGCACACATGGGACCCAGTAGTAATGCTCACAGAGGAAGAGCTACAATAGTGGTAAGACCACAGCAGACAATCCCCTCAGTTTGCTGGGCTCACCACCCACAAGTAGTCTAGAAGTCTCTATCCAGATGTAAATGCTGGGGGTTTACACTGCTGCCCAGGTCTTCATCTGCAAGAAATGACTGATGCTTCTCAAGGCAGTAACAACAGCAGCAGCTTTACCTCTGGGATTCATGATGCGGCACCCAGTGAAGGAGATGCAGGCATGCTTGGATGAGGAATAACGAACAGGGTATTGAGAGGGTCTTCAGAAGAGGTTCTAAAAAGGCAGGAACCTCAGACTAAAGAGGAAGGCAGGATCAAAGCAGCACTCTAACAGGAAATACAACCACCCAGAAGGGCAAAATTCAAAAATAGTGAAGCCTGGCAATAGGGAGAACCCTCTGTCCCCACTCGTAGCTGCTAATCTATAGAACAGGAATAGCCATTTTTTCACTGCTAAAAAGCTGTCCTGAAACACTGACAAGTTGAAGTTTATATCTGGTATTATCCCCTCTTGAGAAACTGATCTTTTAAGACATCACTTCTCTCAAAAAAAAAAAGCTAAAGAAAAAATATGTATGTGAGGGTAGTGTTCTGCAGTTATTTATTGAAGCTACACAGAAAAGTTTGAATCACAGAAGACAGTTTCTGACAAATTAGTCAGATGCAACTGTTCCATGCTTTAATTGAGAAATAAGCACTTTTAAATCTTATTTCTACATGATTAGCACAAAAGATTTGAGGAAAAAGAGTAACTGGTGGAGGTTATGGATAACAAATCACATGAAATTAGTGAACTGAACTGATGGATTACTCTGGCTACAGTTATCTTCACAGGAGCATTCACATCTTCATGTAAACACAGGTAGAATACTATACGAGTAGTATTGGCATTTTCAGAACATCATTTTGATGCTGTGAGCATATCCAGAACTGAAGGAAACCCACATTTCCATTAGCCTGAACAAGCTACACAGCAAGACTTGTAGAAGCTGTAGCTCACACTTGTTCAGTAAGCCTTTGTTATACTTCCTCATACTTTTCCCTTCATAACTATAAAGTCATAGCTCCTTCCCAAACCTCCCTAATGCTAAGAGGTAATCGACTCTGTGTGTCATTTGTATGCAAATCATCCTCCTCCCACCACATTTTTCACTGCTGATCAGCCAGGAAATTTACATTCCATGCTTCAACTTTCATCAAAAACGAGATTAAATCAGAAAGTCTCTTTTCACATTTTACTTTGAGTTGACTGAGTCTGAAAAACTTCAAATACTGCTGTGAGAAAATAATTATTGGGTTTTCTCTTCAAACAAGAATGAACTTGTTTCTACAATAGAAGTTATAGAAAGACTGATACTGATGAACTGACCTCAGTATACAAGCTGGAAATTAATTCAATACTGGTAAAGGTTAGTCTTAAATACTAAAGTCAAGGTTATGAAAGACTAGTTTAAGAACTGAAGATTACTGATTTGACTTTACTTTCTGTAACTTTAGCATTTTAAAGACCCGTAGTCTTGGTCTCCTAGGAAAAAAAAAAAAAAAAAAAAATAATAAAAGGAATTTTCAAACCTGACCTCCCACCCAGAAGCCCAAAACATAACATTCAGTGTTATTTTTGTGATAAAGAAATATTTTCACTGAAGCATTGTCAAAAAAACCCTGGACTACAACATGTAAGGGGAAAAAATAGAGACAATAAAAAAAAAAAAAAAAAAAAAAAAAAAAAAAAAAAAAAAAAAAAAAAAAAAAAAAAAAAAAAAAAAAAAAAAAAAAAAAAAAAAAAAAAAAAAAAAAAAAAAAAAAAAAAAAAAAAAAAAAAAAAAAAAAAAAAAAAAAAAAAAAAAAAAAAAAAAAAAAAAAAAAAAAAAAAAAAAAAAAAAAAAAGAAATGTCTGTTTAGGTGCAAAATAACTTGGTTTATGCTAGTTCATATTTAAAAAAAATGTAATTTATATGAGTTTAGAATAGTTCAAATAAAAAAAAATCCTCAACTTTAAGAACAAGACTTTGAGTAGAATATGACTTTTAAAAGACAATTAAAATTTTTAAATACTTTTCCAGAGAGACTGAGCCTGTTTTGAGACTGAGTACAGCACACTGAGCATCTGCAGGAATTTACTTATGCTACACTAATTGATATAGATACTCTTAATCAAAAAATCTGCATAATGGCAACATATAATGACTTTATTGGTATCTTCTCCGTGATTCAATTTCTTCCAGGTAATAGTTAATTTATGTCCTACTACTTAATGCCCTACTCTTACATTCCCAGAATACAAAAAGCAGCACAGACCTTCTTTAGAAGGTTAGTGTAAGCACAAGAAATGCCATGCTGCTCTTCAGTAGATAGCAGGATCTGAAAAAGGGATGTGACAGGACTACTATTCAAAAGTGTTAAAACACCTTAGAGAACACAATGCTTTGGACCAAATTCATTTTACAGTAAAAATGAACATATGCCTACCTCCCACAGCACAAAAATCACACATACATGTAGCCTGATCCACTTGAGTGATCTTCAGGCTAAAGCAGATTGAAACCAGGGTCCCATCTCGCTCCTCATCAGTGCTCTGGGGAAACTTAAATGTGATGCACTCACAACCCAAAAAGCCAACCATATCCTGGGCTGCATCAAAAGGAGTCGACCAGCAGGTAGAAGGTGATCCTGCCCCTGTACTCTGCTCTTGTGAGACCCCCACTTGGAGTATTGTGTACGGTTCTGATGTCCTCCATGTGAGAAGGACACAGAGGTGCTGGAGCAAGTCTAGAGAATGGTCAGGGGGCTGGAGCACCTCCCATACAAAGACAGGCTGAGAAAGTTGGGGCTGTTCAGCCTGGAGAAAATGCAGCTGCGTGGTGACCTCACAGCAGCCTTCCAATATCTGAAGGGGGCCTACAAGGATACCAGAAAGGGACTTTTCATCAAGGACTGTAGCGATAGGACAAGGGGAAATAGGTCAAAACTTAAACAGGAAATTCAGGGTTAGATATAAGGAAGAAGTTCTTTACAGTGAGGGTGATGATGCACTGGCACAGGATGCCCAAAGAAGTGGTTAATGCTCCATCCCTGGCAGCATTCAAGGTGAGGCTGGACCTTGAGCAACATGGTCTAGTGGGAGGTGTCCCTGCCCATGGCAGGAGGGTTGGAACTAGATGATCTTAAGTTCTTTTCCAACCCTAACCATTCTATGTTTCTTTGGGTAACCAGGGCCCATCATAGGCAAAGCCACATGTGCAAAGTATGGAACCTGACTTTGCTGTGTAACAAGTGAAGATAGAAGAGAAAAAGAAATAAGGAAGCCAATGATACTAGTGGCCTGACTGAAGTGGAAAATCCACAGTTACTATACATACAGCCAAAAAGACAAGCTTGTAAAAAAAAAAAAAAAAGTTCAAAACCAATTTAACTTGCAGGCATTGAAATAAAGTCATCTCTAAGACCTAAATAGTTTAGTTTTAAAAAATGTTAGCTTTAACTTTGCTAGAAGTAGGAAATATAGCAAAGTTTATGGCTTCCTAAAGAAACACAGCTGTAAGCACATAATTTGTTTCATTTGTCACTGATCTCCAAGTTGTTAAACGAGATTTTTCTTAGTCATTCAAAGCTGCTATCAGATATTAGCTCAGGCTTCAAAAGATCCACCATTAATTAGTTATGTTCCTAATAAGGAGATAAGTAACAGCAAGAAGACTTTGATGTCTTCGCATACAGAAAAGCTGCAGTGTCCAAGCCCACACTTACCAATTGCTAGGCCATCACTAAAATTATGTAGTCCATCTCCCATAATCACCATCCATGCCAGAGTTGCTATCCCCGCATCCTTCAGTTCTTCACGTGAGTAGCGCTGACTGTGACTGTGGGGATGATGGTTCTGATGATGATGGTGATGTAGAATATGATGGTAGTCATGGTGATGATGACTAAGATGATCTGTCTGTCCTAGAGTATCATGTAAGTGAGAATGACATTTGTTTCTACAGCCCCGGGACACATATTCGTTTTCAACCTCCTCTTGATGAGAATGAGCTATCATCACTTCTTCTTCTTCTTGTACAGTTGGCTGCTGAGAAATGAATGTTGATGGATCTGGAGAGTCTGTCCCTAGGTAGCCCTCAGGCCCTGTTACAAAAACCCAGAGTATAACATTATACATTTTTTAAATCACCTAGGAAGCAAAGATACAGTAAGTTGACTAAAGCAATGTAGTAAAGAAAAACCTAGCAAGTAAAGAAGTTGAGACATGGAAGTGTTCAAGGCCAGCTTGGATGGGGCTTTATGCAACCTGGTGTAGCGGACAGTGTCCCTGCCTATGGCAGAAGGCTTGGAAATAGATGAGCCTTAAGGTCTCTTCCAACCCAAACCATTCTGTGATTCTGTGCTACCCCAGCTTCTTATGCCAGAAGCATACCACCCCTCTCTCCCCCCAAGGGTTTCCACAGTTTATCTTTCTTTCATTAGATTTCCGAGGTAATTCCCAATAGTTCAAAATAAGAAAAACTTAGAGTTTCTATCCCTACGTTACGGCCACAAATGCTTCCTTAAAAGGTAAAAAAGCTTTTACTCTAAACCCTGTGCAATTTAAACACAACAGCATACAGCTCTCTGTCCCAGTTTCACAGCACGAAGGCTGTTATTTTAATTGTGTCAGAAAGACAAACTGCTGACTGGAAAGTATATGCCATTCATTCATCTTAGGGCTGAAGAATAAGAGGATTATGTTATAGATCATTTTGGAAACTCCTGTAATTGACATAATACAGGAGCTTAAGTTTGAACACTCAAAAATCAAGTCATCACAGACCAGGAAACATCCTCACTTAAACATTTAGTGGCACACTAGTTATTCTGACTAACTCCTAGAAGTTACTGAATTCTTCCCCTGCAATTAAGTGAACAAATACACTTTTACACATTACTGACAACTCTTTCATTAGTTATAAAATTATTCTGAAAAACTGAATGCATCTTTAAGCTGCAAGAGGTAACAAGTATCTAGTGAGATGTGTTTTGGCTCACACCATGATCTTGGGGAAAGTGATCATTTGCTGTCCAAATACAAGTAACTTTTAAGATTTTAGGCTATTCACTTTAAGAATAAATACTCAAACTTACAAAACCCAGACTTAAGATACACAGAAATCTAAATAACAGAACACGTATATAACATCTAACAATCTGTACCAGTAGGCACAGCTGTATTTGCAACAGGCATAGCCAGAATTGCTTCAGAAATGACTTCAGCTTCTGCTATTAAATCCAAAACTAAAAGGCTTAAGGTTTCAAAACTGTGAATTCACTGCTTCCAACCTGTCAATCCTTTGTAAAGGAAAGCAGCAAACAGAACTAGTACTCTACATAGCAATGCAGACAGGTTTCATATCAAAAAGAATTCAAGTAGGAAGTGACCCAACCCACGCTAAGAAGCAGTTCTATGAGTTGACATTGATCAGCTGTTTTTTAAACAGCATTGCCACAAAATAACTGTGCAATATCACTGAGACTTACGATCATCTGTGTCTAACTTTTCTTCATTTGCTGAAAACTTCTTGTTTTCTCCATCATCTTCATTTTTTTTCTTATTCCAAAAGAAAATACTGTAGTTATGAATATTTTACTTATTTTTCAGGATATACATGAGCAACATTATATTCACAACATTTATGCAGCCTGCACAGAAAGAGGACAACATGGAAGCCATGTAAAGAGTACAGAAGAGGAACATTAGAAACTCAGCTAAGTACGGTAAGATGAGCCTAAAGTTCCTCAGGCTCCATAAGAGGGGAAAAAAACCCAAACCACTAATCCCACACATACAAATACCCCACATTTTTGAACAAGGAATAAGCAGAGAGGTTCATCTGAGAAGTGGAACACATCAAATATTGAGTAAAAGTTATTCCACTTACTCTTTTCCATTGTAACATCAGTATGGCTTTCTTCTAATGTAGTGAAGGAAAACCAACTATAATCTCTGATGATTGCTCAGTGATGTCTGTATCGCAACAATTTATGATCAGCGATTCAGTGAAGGGCATAGTTAGTCTAACAGGAAGTCTGCTGCCAGTGCCTGAGACAACACTGAAAATATTTGCTTTGCTTGGAACATGTCATGACCTCTCCTGGCAAATATGTGTAACTAGAGAGGGAAAGCGATACTCTCACTCACAGTTAATTTAGCTTCAGTACAAACCACACCAACACAACTTCGCATGACCAAAGTCCAAGAGCTTACATGGATGGCATCTGCTCTGAGACTGTTGCCTTCGTGACCAATTTAACAATAAAACCAGAGATTATCAGTCATTGTGGTAGCATAGAAAATAGCTATTTTTAAGCTAAGTACTTAGGACTTCACTAACTTTCTTCAAGCAAAATTTAATATATCACCAACTTTTACCGTATCATTTTTTACTGAGTCAACTTTTACATCATTGTTTATTCCTGGCTACACTTTAAAGACATCAATCAGCAATACTTGGTAAGTAACCAACACTTATGATATGCTAAAATTCCATTATAATTTACCTTCCACATCAAAAACAGAAACCAGCATAGTAATCTGAAAGCTGTATCGAGGTTTTGTTTTTTCTTTTTTGGGGGGAGAGGGGTGTGGAGTGAGGAGGGGTAAAGAAGGGAAAAAGACAAGAGGCTGGGCAGACCGTATTTCCAAAAGGAACACTATCTAATGAAGTCACTTTCTACAGTGTAGTTGGATGCTTATTTACTGCCACCCTTACCCCTTTTGTGCAAGCACTTCCTTTAACAGCATTACAATAACTATGAGTCCATCTTATTTCATCCAGTACAAGAATTAAAATAATAATAAAAACCATTCAAATAGTTCTGTAATTGCCTTGAGATGTCAGAAGAAAAATCGATAATGAATCGATAAATCACTGTTAAAACAAAAAGGTGCAAATGGGTATTTGCTCAAACAATTCACTGTGGTGTCAGGCCTGTACTATATGTCTGGTTAATGAAATAGCACAGAGCTCTTCCATAACAGGACCACACAAAAAGTTATCACATCTTTTAAAAGCATGTCACTAATAAAATGAAATTATAATACTAATCAAGCCAGCAATCACTATTAGATCAGAGAGATGTATGGTATTCATAAAAGTTTTTCTTGTAAGTGTTTTCAGAAATCATGAAATGCAATATAGTTTCAAAGTAATAGTTTCTGTACCTTTTTCTTCTTGTCTTTAAACTGCTTTATTAAAGTGATCAAATGCTCCACTAGAAACATGAAATACAAGCCTCCAAGTGCTGTAAGTCCCTTCCATGTAGAATCCAGGTTGGCACTCTCCTCTACACTTTGAGAAGCAATATGTCTGAACATAGAGCTTTTGTTTTGTTCAACCAGAGTTTTTTCATGGTGATGGTGATGGTTGCCATGAGACTAAGGGGAGAACCAAATGGGTAAGTCATTACATTCAAAAGAACTGATAACATAAGAAACACATGTATTCTTCACATTTTTTTCCTCAAGTCTGGAGTCCACACTTGAAAATTTTCATGGGGCAAATACTCTGGATACAAACTCAAATGATTACAAATAAGTCTGTTAATACAGAGAAACATTGCAGGGACCGAAAGCAGGCCTGGTATTCACCCCTCTCACTGAAGCTATATGCATTCTGCTTAATACAAGATGTACAACTGCCCCCACAAAAACTCCTGACACCTGTCAAGGAAACTGCATCTTAAGTACTTAGTCGCAGCAAGCACACCAATTACTTTGCCATCTAAGATGGCTCATAGATCTTTTTGTATGAATAACTCGGCAGTAATTTCCTTCTTTAAAGGAACTCTGACATTCTTCCCCTCCTTACTGGCTACTGGTAAGTTCAGAATAAAAAAAAAAATTTGAGGACATCTCCCCCACTCATGTTTACATTTACACAGCCTCACACAGCAAAAGGAAGAACCACCTAATGAATTACAGGCAGGTCTCAGAAACTACCACAGGATCTGCAGTCCTTTTTATTCATCTTAGACAAAAGGTAGCTTGCTCCAGCTTTCAGGTAAGAGCTCCAAAGAAAGGTGGAAATTTAGCAATCACATTCCAATTTCATTATCCGTATGTAACTTCAAAGTCTACCAAGTAATGTTTTCTTAGGACTTCACCAATGCTTGATTCCAACCAAAAAATTGCAATGAATAAGCAATCAAGATAAGTGGCTGACAACAGAAAACAATGCATTATCTATTCCACATTAAAATGTACAGTGAGCAATTTCTGGTATCTATAAAGTTCACTAAACTGGAAAAATAAATTAAAGAGGCATTACAGTAAGTGACTAAAAACATTTATACAAAATTCTTGCATGCAAGGAACAAGAGTGATCTAGCAGCATATATGACTAAGAACAGCAAACAGAGGGATAATGTGTGATGTTCTTACACTGTAAGGACTGTGAAATGAATAATACAGTTTCAAATGGGAAGCCCTTCCATCAAATAGTCTACTTTACAAGGTTGAGAAGTGACTCACCAAATAGACATTAACAAGGATTAAAATTATCATTAAGAAATAGACAGGTGTCAAGTTCTCCGCTTAGAGATAATGAACAAAACAGTAATTAATACTTACATGAGGAAGGAGGTGTAAGAAAGCATCTCCACTCAAAGTCCCCACAGCCAATGCCACAAGAAAACTTAGAAGAAATTTGAAAAACACTCGATTCATCAGTGGTACCAATATAACACCCAGCAAGGAAAGAAAACTAATGATGGAGATGGATATAAAGCCACCAATCCAAGCTGGTTTAAAAGAAAAAAGTAACAAGGATAAGTAACAGCTGTATGAGACTGTTTGCTTGACATTCCTGTTATCAAATACTCCTGATCATTCAATTAATCAGATGTTAACAAATTGTACACCACAAAGACTTCTCCCTACACATGGTCAAGTGCTAAAAGAAAATGACTTCTTTGAAACATGTTTCTCAAATTTACAGCCAACATTAATGGGTTTTCAATAAGCTTTTATTCCATGTTAAAAAAATAACCTACCTATTTGCAGAGAATAACTTTTTGGAGGAGTTTCAGCTTTTTCAGTAGTTGCGTGGACTATGCAGTATTTGCCATCAATCTGATTAATAAGAGCTGGGCAGAGGTAACTAAACTCTGTAGCAGTCAACAACACTTGAGTACCTATTCCATGGGACTGCATCAGTTTTGACGCACTGGAGCACTGTGGAAGGAAATGTGTGTTAAAGATTAACCATAATCAAAATACTATGATACACCTGAAGAGGACTGCACATCCCATTTTAATTGAACTGCATTGGCACCACATGAAAACAGCTGTATCAACAGTAATTAAAAACTGGTAACAAAGCAATTCAGGAAGAACTGTACCTCCACACTGCTTCTGGCCCAGAAAGCTAGTTTGGGAGTCCTGGTAGATGGGGCATAATTATCGCTCTTCTTCAGAACAAAGGGGTCAGATGCTTTGCTGCACAAACAAAAGAAGTCTAACACTTTTCACCGAGTTTTAGAGGCCATATAAAGAAGTAGTAAGGTTAAATCCCTTTTTATAGAAGTGATGACTACGGAAAGTTTTGTACAGAATGTGTTCTGCATGAACTTCCTCCAGTGAAGTTTCCCACTGTACAACCTACAGTCTTGGTGCATTTAAATGGCAGCAGTACTTCTGCTCTGACTGTGCAGACTGCAGGAACCTTGTGAATACAGTGCCTACAATACGCTATACAACACCCAGTGAATTACATTGGCTGCATACATTAAGACCCCAGAGAGACACTTGCTTTTGAAAGCATTTAACGGAGAAGGATCTGATGGTGTAATGAAACTTCTCACAGCACAACTACAGACCTTATTAGCCATAACAATTTTTAGCATTTTAAAATAATAGTTAACATTTTGCAGCCATGTTTTTCACAGTTGGTCTCTACATACAGTCTTAAAAAAGATAGGGAGGGTGGAATCAAAGGAAGAAGGTGCCTGTTACTTCCCTGCAGCTCTGTGCTATCTGCCATAGAATGAGCTAACACTCATGAAGCAGCTTTGATAGAATGACAGTATTTTAACTAGATTTTTTTATTTTCACCACATTTTAGGAAAAGACAATGGATTCTGCCTTTAAGGCAGAACAGCAAGTTTTAAATTTGAAGTGTTTTAACACTTCATAGTATTTTAAAATCATACATATATAAAAGTGTTTGTTTATTCTTAAGAACTTTTTATTCAGAAAAATTAGAAATAACTAGTATATATTCTCCTCTGAGCTCATGAGCATAACACAACATTCCTTCAAAATGTTAAGTTTCAAGGGAAGTTGTTTTTATGTGTTTGGCTACAAGTACTGTTACACCACAAAACTCACACCCAGTTAAATACTAAGCACCTGATAAATATGCCAGAACAACATTCCCAATGGATCTGGTTTCTCAGGAATATAGGAGAATCAGCCTCACCTCTTGTGTATTTTGGTTTTTCAGTTTCGAATACAGGTAGCTCCCTTTTTCTGATTCCTTCGGAGAAGCATGAGATTCATTTGCTTTGCTGTTCGCAGGCGAGCTTGCGTTGCTGCCACCTGTGACATTAATGGCATTAGGACTGGACAGACCTAGACGAGCAGCAGGCTTGACTTCTCCAGGTTGCACATTCTGTAACTCAGAGTGGCCACCTGTGGTAGCAGTGATGAAGGGTGCCATTCTTTCACTAACTGCGTTCTTGCTGCGTACAAAGTTCTGCTGATGTTCTGCGTTTTGCATTTTATGAGGTTCCTTTGAGTGACTGTTCCTGTGGTCTTTGTTAGCATCCGATTCGTGGTTTGGACAAACAGTCTTCTCAGAGATTTTACTTGACGGCACATGATTATGATGGTGATGATCATGATCATGGTCATGGTCATGATCATGGTCTATTTTAATTCGTTTCATTTTATCTATACCTATGTTCTGAAGCAGTTTTCTAAACCCGTCAATCGACAGCGAGTTGTTTTCGCCATAACGATGAAAGAGTTCTTGAAGGTGAAACTTCTGTATTAATCCTGCCAAATCAATATTCACACCAGCTGCCTTTTCTGGAAAAGTTCTCTCCATTGTATGCACAACAGTAACCATCTCCACTCCATGATGATAAATTTCACACAGTAGTACGGAAAACGATAGAAGGAATGTGAGTGACACCGTACTTTCCATTGCAGTTTCTTTTTACCAAAGGGGAAAGAAAAATCTAGAAAAAGAAGAAAATTCTAAGTTTCCATAAAACTGATCACATCTTCCTCTGCAACAGATGTTCATAACTTGCTTAAACAAAAGAAAGCTGCAATTAACCAAAGCAAACCCTGCTCAAAGTATCAATGCAGTAAGCAAACAGCTATTTAAATATCCTACACATTCATCATCTTTTCCCAGGTGCCATGGCCTTAGGCAACAGGAGATGAAGCTGCATACCATGATGAAGTCACTGGCCATAAACACCCCCCAGGTGTGAGCTTACCTTTGTTTTGTTTGGCCTGTGCCAGTCCTCTTAACACAAGCTAAACAAGGAGAGAACACCCTCAAGGGTGTGCCAACTGAGTTCTAGATTAGGCTTTTCTTCTGGTAAAAACAAGCCTTATAATTTATCTCTTAGCAAGGAATAGGCTGTATAAATTGTATGTTCATGCCTAAAAGTCAAAATTCCCAACCTTCCCTATCTGGATTTCCTGAGCTTTTAGCAGGATAAGCTTTCAGCACTCCAGAAAAAAATTTGTTTACGCTGTCTGTGTGTTTTAACATCGCTGTCGATCCTACAGCTTCTTTCAGTAAGCAGGCAGATCACTGCTGCAGACCAAACGTTCACAAGTGTCGACATTTGTGTGTTTTATTCCATAATCACAGAATGGTTTGGGTTGGAAGGGACCTTAAAGATCCCCCAGTTCCAACCCCCCTGCCACAGGCAGGGACACCTTCCACTAACCGGGTTGCTCAAAGCCCTGTCCAACCTGGCTCACTCCAGCAAGACTATGGATTAACCCATACGCAGGCTGCGTACAGACCACGTCTGAAGGCTGCCTCTGCCCTTTCCTAGAGAGGCAGAGAACACACCGTAATGCAGACGACGTCACGGTTTCCGTAAAGCCTATAACCACCCTTAAAATCCCAGCACCGCCGCCG